GCAAACATAAGCCAAGACAATTTTGCAATCCCACGTTATCAAATTGAGCTTCGTAAATTTGGTTGCATGGTGCTTCTATTTCAGTGCCAGGGACAGCTGTTTCATTTACCCCCAGATTTCTGGAATAAGCTTTAGCACAAGATTGTACTTCTGTAAAACTCCTCAGATTTTTTTTAGATCTAACGCAGGATAGAGGCTGTGAGTCACAGCACCAGAATAACTTGAAGCTTTTCTGTGCTTTAATATTACACACACAAAATCAGAAGTACTTAAATATTATGTCAGGAAGTTAAGATAATAAGATTGATTAAATCAGACATAACTACAAATATACAAGAACAGTTACAAGTGAGGAGGATTTTCAATCCATTTAGTAGTTATTACCTAAATAACCGAAGTACCATAGCTCATCCATCTGATTCTTTAAGAACCCAGGTTATCAACTTCAACATGATTGAGTAGCTTGTTCCACACTTGCACAACACTCTGGGTGAAGAAGTGATCTATGTTCTGAATGTATTTCCACACTATAAAACTGCCCTCATTTATGTACTGATTAAGTACATAAACTGAAGTACTGATTGAAGCTGCTTACTAAGCTGAATACCAGCTAGGAAGGTACTATCTATGCATAATTTCTTGAAAACCTGAGGAACAAAGATGGAGGCTGTCACTGACGTCGGAAAGGCATGCCGTGGAATGGCCAGGAGAGCGATAAAGACCCTATGTGTAGCAGCAAAGGGGGGCAACACGGAGGTTAGCCCAGGCTCAGGAGGTCAGATGGTGTCGGGTAGAAACCTATGCCCTCAGGCCGCGGAGGAGACGACATGGTGCTAGGTGGGTCTCGACATCCGAACCCTCAATGCTGAGCAAGGAACAAAGGGTGAACCGGAAATATATAGCCCCACACAAAGGACAAGGAAAGCACAGGGAAACTAGGAACAGGACAGAGTAGGAGCGCCCTCTAGATGTAGAGGGTGTGACAGAGACTAACTGATCCCGTTTTTGGTAGGGTAATAAGGAGCAAGCTGTTGTTCAACCAAGTGCAAACTGAAGGAGGCTCCAATTCAGAATTATTGTACTGACCTGTATAATAATGTGACCGTATATACTTTGTCGTATATTGCTGAAGGCTCGTGGTAATTTAATGTTAGGTTTTAAAATATGTAAGCTAAATACTCCAAATAAGGGCAGGGTAACTACTTAAGTGATATGCTATTAATTTTAATGTTCCATGAAACGAGTACAGCTGCTATGGGTTTGAATTTGATCTTGTGGCATATCACAGTGTCTTTAATTTTCATTTAGAAATGATACAGCACAGTACTGTGAAAATAGGCTTAAGTGAACACGAATTATAATTCTTATGGCAGGCTACATGTACATGTTCATCCACGGAAAGCGCTACATTGGTTGGATTTCATCTGATAGTGTTTTTTAATTTACTGTATGTTTTTGGATCTTGACTGTTCGGAGCTGGGTCGCTGCAGTTTCGATAATGACCCTGATCAGGCATAAATTAAGCTGCTGGAGCCTCGACTGCAGTCTATGATTCCTTTAATATACCCTTAAATTTAACTATTGTACATAAAATAACATTCTACCTACAGTGCCCCTGTTCCCCCATATCCCCGCTGAACCACCATGTGTGGTCCTATCACAACAAATTGACTTAAGTGGCACCAGATGTGATTAGACACATTAAGAGTCACCTCCCTTGTGTATTTACCTTGATTTCAGTTCACTTCCATCCACAGAATAATTATCTCAGTCTGTATCTCAGAGCTCTCTATCACATATTACAGGTTTTACATGTATCATTATTAGGCGTATTATTATGATGACACTTTTTTATAATTAGATCATGAGACGTAGGTCATATTGTATAAGACTGAGTTATGTTTGCTGATGTGGTCAACAATTGATTTAATTGCAGTGCTCTAAGGATCATCCCATAATTAGTACGCAGATCTGTATGTTAGTTTAATACCAATTGCAATAAACTTCTAAAAAATGTTCTCAGTTTCAGAGAACCCAAAATAACAGCTGCTGTCCTCTAGAGGAATCTGAAGTACAGGACTAAGGACAACTCTAATAGACTAAGCAATTTAGCATAATACTAAGCAGGATAAAAGTTCAGAATGTAGTAGCAACTTCTTACTGAAATATCATAATGATATAAGTGTCCGTCGCTGAGAAATTTATTGTAAAATTAAACTAAAATTGGATTTCAACCACAATACACTTGACCAACTTCTCTCTCATGTTCTAATTTTAAAGAAGGGTGCCATCAATATTACACCTTCTTACTGTGTGCACGTGGAGCCTATAGTATGCGATATAAAGTTCTGAGATATATATTGAGATAAATATTGAAAGTGTGCAAGGTTTACCTTTGTCGTATTTCATACACATATAGTAACTGTAACCTAAGCCCATTACTACAAACCACTTTTTGGCAGCGGCGGCATTAGGAAAGACAGAGTAGAGACGACTTACAGTACAGGCTCATTGTCAGTTTAATTGACCTTGTCAATCAACCGGGCGTGCCTGTAACTTATTAACTCCTTGTCACCTAATTCTTAATTCACTTGACACTATTCATTTTTACACACCCAACTGTACTAAAGCATTTAACCCAATAAACTCCACACAACACAAGCTTCAATAAACCTTCACTGAAATCACTTCTGCAAGTTTTCACTCTTACTCTTCAGTAACAAACATCAACTTATCTCATCACTAACTATCCTGACTGATCCTATTTGGCCAGGACACCTCTCTGTTACCAACGCTTATGTCCCAGACAGTTTTTCTGTCTCATTCCTCAATCTAATTGTGTGATAGATAAAGCACAGGGTGTACTCAGGACTCTGAACCTATGTCATCTAGCCTCCTCTCTCAGTTGTGGAGAGAAGATACTCTGCTACCTTGCAAAGTAATGCTAATTTTTTCCAGGTACTAACACCTCCAGACAGACCTGGTTCTACTGGCCAATTTTGCTCCTCAGGAGTGGATTTCAACCCCGTTGAACCTGACAAAATCTACCAAACAGATATTCAGCACCCACAACTCCCCTCAGTTCAGTCTAAACTATATTGGCTCAAGCATTCCTAGTTCACTGAGCCCCAGAGGCCTGTAAGCCAGCCCAACCCATTGCAAGTGAACACTGGCATCTGGACCATGCACTCTATCTCCTTCTAGCCTGGAGCCTAGACACAGTCTGAAATCAATTTCATTCAGATTATTTATCCTAAGCATCTTAATTATCCCAGAGGAGAGGGGTTCCACAAAGAGCCTATCCCGACAGAAGGTGTGGCTCATTCTCATCTAATACATTTTTTAACCATGCTGTTTGGCTTACATGCTCATGTAATAACAATATTTCACCAAGTTGTTTGCATTACAGATTTGTATACAGAACACATCCAAATAAATTATTGAAATTGTAAGGTGGTTAAATCATTAATTAAGGATAATTAATTAACATTCCTTTTTACAAAAAGGAGACAGACACCAGACAGACAAGCTTGTGGAGCAGCAGGGACCATGGTCAGCAGCACTCTGTAGTGTCACCAGCACTGTGACAGAAAAGGGGATCTGATTCCTGCTCAACAGGGAGATGTGGAGGGAGCTTTCTTGTCCTCTTGTCAGGACCATGATCTGTCAGCAGTTCAGACTGAGCACATAACCTTTTTTCTTCCCATGATTGCAGTTTAATCAAGAGGCTTGCATAGTATTTGTACTCTGGGAGCAACTTTACGGGAACAAGCAAAATCAACAACATGTGGACAGGTCCCCTGGTAATTAACACTGGCCTGTTTCCCACATTTGCACCAGTCTCAGCTCTCATCAGTCAACTGACCTCTGGAACCAGCTTCCACCTCTGTCCTTCCAAGAGACCTATAATTTACAGCTCTCAAAAGGACAAAGGTTGAATTTCCCAGAACATTACTGTTTTTCTAAAAAACAAAATGTTCAGATTGCTTCTAATAAACATGCCAGCAATGTTTACCTTGATATTGCTGTTGCATGTTGTACCGAAACCACATGTTTCTTTATGTAGATTAGGTAACAACTGTTGCTGTAGATACAATACAAACAGCGGTTCACATTCTTGGCCACAGGTTTCTTTTTCTTTAAGTGTGTTTCCTCTGACCTTCCTTGTTTGTTAAGAGCTAAAATATTCCCCTCACAGTGCTGGAGGAGCCCTATAGCCTAGCAGACTCACAAAAAATCCAAGTTTACTGATAATAGGGTATAATAACTGATCATTTTCCCCCTAGAAATTAATGTGGCACAGCTGGCATTTGAACACAAAGTGACTCTTTTGGCTGTTTGTATACTGTGCCCATTCTAGGATAGCTGCCACACCTAATCTTGAAAAAGACCCTACAGAAGCTGAGGCTGTGAGGTGGGAATGTCTCTCCTCAATCTGGATATGAAGACTGAAAACTAAACAGTGACTCTAAATAAGAAGGAAATTCAATGGTTCACCAAGTTCTAAAACAGATAAGTCAAGGCATCATGAGAATCTTCTTTTGTATGAACAACAACTGAAACAGCTGAGGAGGAGACAACTGAGAACTCTCACTTACTGTACATAACATTCTCCCTTCTACATTATTGCCGCTCTCTTGACTGCATTTGAGCCACGTGGTAGCTTCTCAAATCTCAACACACTTTGGCCTCCTAGCAGGGACTGACTCTTCTGTGGGTTAACAGCAAACCCAACAGCCAACAGTTATGCAGTTGCTGCAAAATTTTTAGCTTACATGAATTATAAAACTTGTGGTCAGGAGAAGAGTACCATTTTGGTAAATCCAAGACCTTATTTTTTACCACTTTTCCTCAAGTGATTTAGCGTGAATGAAAGAAACCCACTGAACAGAGTAAAGCAACACAAACACACAACTCCCGCCTTCCTCCGTAACAACAGTTAAACTGCTGTTGAGCAGGAGGCTGGACTACTGGACTATATAAATACAGCTGTCCGTCGCAAGATGACATCACCCTGACAGAGGAGATAGACAGAGCGAGGACAAAATCTTGACTGTCAGAAGAATGATTCTCCAAAAGGCTCGTGAAACCATCTTTGTTCTCTCCTTGTGTTTCACTGTGGTCTTTGGTGCAGAGAACACCTGTCCAGGTAAGTAAAACAGATTAAGATTATTTGTATTTTTTTGTAAAAACTATTGTACATTTGTTATTATGATATTCTACACTGTGCATTATTAGATATTATCACCTGTTGTTGTTTGTGCTACAATTAATGAAAACCTATAATGAAAAGATATCTTTAGTTTGATTGTATAAAGTGTAGTAGGAATGTGGTGGAAATGAGATTCCATCAGACCTCCAAAATAAAATTAAGAAATAACAATTGTGACATTGATACACACACCTTATATGAGAATGACAAATGAAAGACTATGGAAAAGGGCAAGTATCAGAAGACCTTTTCAAAGCATGCCTTACATCAGGTGTTTTTTGCTTGTTTCACTTTTGAACCCTAGAAATAAGAATCTTACTTAATCTAGTTAACAATGAAATGTTAAACCTGAAGTAGATGGAAGATTGTTTTGCTGTGATGAACCGACAGACTATTTCAAAAACTTGGTTCAACTATCCACATCTCATTTTACCAATGAATTCTTCTCGACTGTTTTAAGCATTAAACATTCAGTCTTTACACCAATACTTACAGTGGTTGATTCATTGTTACAGACTTTAACATCTCGCGCGTCTCTGTGGCGCAATCGGTTAGCGTGTTTGGCTGTTAACTAAAAGGTTGGTGGTTTGAGCCCACCCAGGCACATGCCTGATTTGGGGTGGAGCGGTGGCTAAGGCTCTGCACCTGTGGCTGGAAGGTTGCTGGTTCAAGTCCTGCAGTTGGTGGAGGAATCCTACTCTGTTGGGCCCCTGAGTAAGGCTCTTAACCCCAATTGCTCCAGGGGTGCTGTATAATGGCTGAACCTGTGCTCTGACCCCAGGCTTCTCTCCCTATCTGTGTGTCTCATGGAGATCAAGCTGGGGTATGCAAAAAGACAAGTTCCTAATGCAAGAAATTATAAAGGGTTAATAAAGTGATATTATTATTATTATCTATCCCAGTGGGACTGTAACAGTCCTTTAATGAGCCATTTTATGTTCATAACAGCCAACTTTTCATCAGCACAAAATGGGTTTGTCCCACTGCTTTAATCTGTCTCCTCTAATCCTTGTCCTCCTCATGATTTCCTAGTGAAGTTGAGCTCTTCTGTGTTACAGAGGTGAAGGTTATTGGCCTGAATGACAAGGACAGACTGACCATCCTTCAGGGCTGCCCAGGACACCCAGGGATACCAGGTACTCCTGGAGCCCCAGGCATGAAGGGAGAACAAGGCCTGCCAGGCCCTCAAGGTAAGAACTGCATTGATTCAGCATCTTACTAATAAGTATGTGATTTCAAAGTAGATTCCCCCCACATTTCAATATTAACTAGAATTCTCTAAACCAAAGCTGCCATTTTTGTAGTCGTGATCAGTCATAGGCTTTGAAAGACTTAAAGCTATTCACTGCTTAAAGATATGCAGATCACACACATCAGTAGTTTAGTAATTGGAGTAATATGCTTCCAAATTAAAAAGGCCCTTCAAAAAAATTTTTGAGCCCTTCATATTCTCCTATTGTCTTTTGCTTTCTTCACAAGTTTTGAAAGCAAAAATGGCTGACAGCCTGGACTCAAACTATTAATTCCTGATTAGCATGGTTTACTCTTATCAGTGCCCACTGGTCTGACGCTACTGGGCTCTTTGTCTCAATTGTATTTTACATTTTAGGTGTGAAAGGTGAACCAGGAGCTTTTGGAAAGATTGGCCCTATTGGATCCAAAGGTACGTTTCCAATACTATACAATGCCTGCTCTCTAGGTGATGCTCAGCAATTTGCTCATTGTAGGGTGAAATAGCTGGAAACAAATGATCTGCAAGACAAGAGTCTGTAACATTGATCATGTGCAGAGCAGTCAATATTTCATTTAAACACGTATCATACAGCCTAGCACAATGACATCTTTGAAAGATGAGAGTTTTGAAAAGGTAATAAAAAGATAACAAATAGGGAAAGAAAAACACAAAACCTTTTAGATAGTTAATTTGCCTATATGTGGTCAGACACTCCTTCCCTGATTATTTTAAGTGAACTTTATGGGATGTTTACTTTGTTTTTGTTACAATAGAAGTTATCAAATAAAGAAGATTAAGCTACTTAAGGGGAAGAAAATGTTTTATACTTATAAGGAGGAAAGACATTAAACAGCAGGAAAAGAGAGCTATTACCTTTTCCTTTATTCTTGCTGTGGGGCAACTCACCAGTACAGGATACACAAGTTTGTTTTTAGTATCGGGCCTGAAAAATCACAAAAAGTACTGATAAATCTATACTTGCCAGCAAAAATTAGTTACAGATGTGTTTATCCTGTTACAGGACAGAAAGGAGAACCAGGGGATCAGAGAAGCACAGGTACAATGATTACTGTATAAGGTCCAGCACACTCACTTGCAGGAAAAAAAATGATTTTATAGGTTTATTTGCATGATAGCTAACTTTATGCAAGTTGGATGTCAAGAAAATCAATTTAATCCATTCAAACTCTGGATACACATGTATTTTGCTTTTCAGAAAAAGTATTCAGAAATAAAAAAGCTCTATTTAAATAGATCCTAGGTCCACTACTGCTCAAATGTTGCCTAAATGCTCAGGAACAAAAATAGGAAGCTCCCAAATTTGCCATGATAACTTTTATTAAATTCTTTGTAGCTAATATAGCACAAGGGGGAACAATTGAATTAACTATATTCTATGTGGGAACGCAATGTTGTCTATTACAGTATATTCATAGTTACAAGTACAGGTGACATTGTTTGACTTAAAAAAACATACTAATAAGCTACAGTGTTACAACAATGTAGTTTTCACTAATTACCTCAAGCGTAAAATGTTGTTTCTGCACAAATACTCTGGCAAACTATTATTAAGATAGTTTAGTATATTTCAAAGCAATTCAGCTACAGTATTTGTCTTGCACATACTGCATAGTAGTGAATGAGGAGGTGGTTCGGCAGCTGCCAGCATGATGTCATCATTCTTCCAGGGGCTCGGAACTGTAAGGAGCTGCTGGACCAGGGGAACTACATCAGCGGCTGGTACACAGTGAGGACAGAGGGAGACAAAGACATCAGGGTGTTCTGTGACATGGAGACAGATGGAGGCGGCTGGCTTGTGAGGGAAACTATAAATATTGCCTTTCTGGGGCATAATGGAGAAAGCAGAACTATGTAGCATTTAGGAAAACAGAGAAGGTGTTTGACATTTTGTTTCATAACAGAAGGTTAACTAGGCTTTTTTCTATCCATGTATAGATCATGTTTCACTCTTCCAAAGCAACTTACCATGTTAGGAATAGCCAGAGTATAAACAAATAAATTGCTTCAAGCTAAAACTGCTGTACAGTATATAATGCATGTACAGTACTTACTGCATATCATTTTAGTGCATCACAGATTTCTTTTTTCTTCCTTGAATCTTCCTTTTTCAGGTATTCCAGAGGAGGGTGGATGGATCATTAGATTTTTACAGAGACTGGGCCTCTTACAAGCGAGGGTTTGGTAACCAGCAGTCAGAGTTCTGGCTGGGGAACGACCACATTCATTCACTGACCAGCTCAGGTGAGTCTGCCAGCCTGGCCACAGGGCTGGGTCAGCACAGGAACTGCATGAACATAATCACTGCACAAAGGCAAAACAAAACACAAAACTGAATATTTTATTTTAAGAAGACGACTCGTTTTTCTTCACCCAAATCTGCAACATTTTTAACTTTAACATCTTTCTTTACAGTTGTATCTGTAAATCAGAAATGTATTAATCTGCTTTACAAATAAAAATATTTTAGTATTTATTTGACATTTTTAATAAGGACCTACAGTATGTGATTTCCTTTCTATACCTGATATTTTGCCAAAGAAGTAATCCTGGTCCAAATCAAATAATGTTGAATGGACTTTTTTATTTTTCATTATTAATACTGTATATTATCTGCTAAGAACCCCTTTCTGTCCCCTGAATCACCAGTACCATTGTTAAATTCAGAATGGATGAAACATTAAATTTTTAATGCTACCCTAATTGTGCAATTTTCATCTCTAGAGGCCATTTCTTTTCTTGCTCTTACTGGAATTGTTTCCTTAGCTGTTCTTGTCTCTTGTCTGTCTCTCTTGATTATGAGAGCCTACAAGGCACAGAGCCACATTCTCAGACCAAGTTCACTTTGGTATTATGCCATAATCATTTCTTGCACAGATCTTTCAGACCTTACTGATGGAACAATGTAGAATATTTTGAGTATCCCAAGGTCGAGAATGTCAAGTACAATACACAGCGCATGTTTATTCTATATGAATTGCTCTTTTCCATTTGTTTCCCAACAATTATTTCGTGTAAAGATTTTTTTTTCATCTTTTTGTACACCTCACTATTTTTTAAAGAAACAAAATGAGAGGAAGTGGCACAGGGAAACATAGCAATGTTGCACATACATACAGTATACAGCAAATATGCATACACTGTGTAGCCAATTAAAGTGTTCAACATTGAAGTTCCTCCCCTGCGCAGTAGCACACTTCGCTGAAGTAATAAGACTGATGGATTGTTATTCAGTTGCATTCACTTTCTTATGATTTCAGAAGACAACCATCTATCCAGCTTCTAACCGCTTCTTCCAGTTCAGGGTTATCGGGGAACTGGAGCTTAGCAAGCATTGAACGCAAGGCAGGATACAACCTGGATACGACACCAGTCCAGCACAGGGCAGGCACACAGACACTCACACCAGGGCCAATTTTCCTAAAAGACAATCAAACTTACAGTATGGTTTTGGACTGTGGGAGGAAACTGGAGCACCGGGTGGAAACCCATGTAAACACAGGGCAAGCATACACACTCCACACAGATAGCCCCCCCGGTCTAGAATTGAACCCAGAACCCCAGTGTGTCATCCAGAAAACAACCGGGAAATACAACTACAACCTTAAACTTCTATGAAAGCAACAGGACACATTTGCGACTGCTTCTGACATGTAGTGTTGTCTATTCTGTTTTGAAGGGAATTATGAACTAATGATAGATTTCAGGGACTTTGACAATGCCTCCACTTTTGCAAAATACCTGCCTTTTAAGATCCTGGGGGAAGCTGAGAATTACCGATTGATTCTGGGTGGATTTCAGGATGGAAGTGCTGGTAAGTTTCCTGTTGTGTTCACTCAGTTTATTAACGTTAAGAGATTATTCCTGTGTCAGAGGATGGCACATTTAGTTTGTTTAATTCTTAATAACTTATATAACTTTAGTTTTGACTCGTCTTTGCCCTGGATTTTGAAAAAGTACAAAAACATTTTTCAGTGATCTGATGGCAAATTGTTCATACTACAAATGTTTTGTTTGTTTTTCAACCAATTTAGAATAGTACAATACTTTTAAAGTTAATACAATTTTTAAGTTAAGGTTTTATTTTCTATTTAAAGTAAAACCTTCAATAACGTTTACTAAACTTTTATTTTACAGCATTTAGAGTCCAGGAAGGCTGTGTAATCAGAGTGATTTTTTCTTTCTTTCTGGAGGAGTAAAGGAAAGCGAATTATGCTGTTGTTTACATTATAATGGAGCGAATTAGGGAAAATCCCAGTGTCTTCACCATTGTTTCTTTAAATTCTGTTCACAGGTGATTCCCTATCAGGTCATAATAATCTTTCCTTTTCTGCAAAAGACCGTGACAACGACGTCTGTGACTGCAACTGCAGCAGCATGTACAAGGGAGGCTGGTGGTATGGAAAGTGTCACAGTTCCAACCTTAACGGTCTCTATCTGGGTGGGCACCATGAAAGTTACGCCAATGGAGTTAATTGGTATTCTGGGAAAGGTCACAATTATTCCTATAAGTATTGTGCTATGAAAATAAGACCTCGTTGAAATAGCGAGGCAGTGTGCAGCACAGAGAGAAAGCTGTTCCATTCTCAAGGGTCTGTGATGCTGGAATCTTGGGTTTTGATTCAAAGACTGAGACTCATTTGGAAGAACAAATTCTATATCAACTTGTGGTTTCACACAAAGTACAGCGCCACAACATGGAGGACAATATCCTGGTGTATAAAACAGGCCCTTTCCCTTTCCTTAAACTGTGTTCCATGGTGATTTAAATCCTGATATAAAAAAATAGAAAAAATTGTATAACAAAAACCCCATGTCTTCTGAAATCATCCTTTAAAATGTAAACACAATGTAAATATCTGAAGCTTTCGTGACTACTACACTGTGTCTGAATGTGTGACTTAACCAAACCATGCACTTCCAACAATATTGTATAAACCTTACTAAAATATTTTGTCCAACATAACCAGACTTTACAGCTTTGGAAAAGTTATTACAATGTATTAAATTAGTTAGAAGACTACTGCAAGCAAATTAGCTCTTTTTATCAATCGTCGGAAATGGATGTTTTTTGCTGATTGTTAATGCATGTTCTTCTCCAAATCTGTGATAAATATTGCATTTTGGATGTTCTATGTTAAACTTAGATTGAAAGAGACCCATCAGCAATGTATTCCTAAGAAGGAAATATTTCCATTATGGTTTTGTATTTTAATTCAGGAGTAGACATTATACTGTATATTTCTTTAAAATAAATACAGTCGTCCAATAATTATTATTGATTGCTTCTACTACAGGCACTATTTTAACAAGCCACTATCTATATGCTTATAATCAGAACAGGAGCATTCCTGTCTTAATTTAGCCATTGTCATCAACGCTCTGCACGCTACAAGTGTTGTGGTGTTAAAGGGGGTCTGGTTCCTGAATAAAAATGGGGGCACCTTTCTTGTCCTCTTTTCAGGACCCTGATCTGTCAGCAGTCCAGTAACTTAAGACTGAACACATAACCTTTTTCCTTCCCACGATTGCAGTCTAAACAAGAGGCTTGCGCAGTATTTGTACTCTGGCAGCAATGTTACGGGAACAAGCAAAGTCAACAACATGTGGACAGGTCCCCCGATAATTAACACTGGCCTGTTTCCCACATTTTCACCAGTGTCAGCTCTCATCAGTCATCTGACCCAGCATCCACCTCTGTACTTCCAAGAGAGCTACAACTCACAGCTCTCAAAAGGAAAAAAGGCTCAGTATACCACATACATTTTGCTTTTAAAAGTTTTAAACCTAATCTTCAGGTACCTGACTACTGAAATCCCCAAAAACATTTTTCTTCACACAAACATCCTCCCCTACCGTGTGTAAATCAGATTAACCCAGAAATCTTGTCTTCTCTCTATTTGTTAATATACACAAAAATGTGTAATGCCTAGTTATCAGGTCAGTTTCTTTAAATCAGTGGTGCCTGCATGAAACAGTTCTGAAGAGCAACATTTCATCCTCTGAACGTTGAGTCCTACACCCTGACAGTCTCACGGCAAAGCACAGCCCCAGACACTTACTGAAGTGGCCATATTGTACCCGACAAGTAAGTTAGATACTCTTGCAGGTCACAATGTTTCCTCTCGCTGTCTGGAAGCCAACAGGGCTGACAGTATTATTTCTGCCCATCCTCAGATGGACATCATGACTCCACTGTTCAGACTGAAGCAAAGACACAACTGGCCTGTTAGCACACAATCTCTACAGACATTGTGTGTGAGTTGGTTAGACTGAGATCTGGAACAATATTAGGCAAACTGGCAAACTAGCAAGTACTATAGGTGATAAAAAACACCTGTAATTTCTAAAATGATACTATACAATTATGTGTGTTTGCGTACACACACATGTATGCATAAGCATTATTACTGTCAGAAGACAGACCATTCTGTCCATAAGAATGAGAACTCCCCACCCTTTCCAATGAAGAATGAGCCAGGGAGCTGCTGCAAGGGTGAAAATTTCACCCCTCAACACAGAGGGATGAGAAAATAAAACAAAACAACCAAATAAATAAAAAGTTTGATGTTTTTACATAGGTAGATATCTGGGAGTCTAGGGTTTAGCCTCCTCTCAAAACTCCATAATGTTTAAATGTATTAACAACCAATTAAGCTTGCTTTGTTCTAACAGAATTTTCTCTTTTAAAGAAACTAAAAATTGAAGGAAATCTGGTGAGTGATCTCATTTTAGGTACTGAAATATATTTAGTTTTACTAGCAGTTATGGGCGAAAGATAATTATAATGGCAAGTCTCTAGTCTTAATCTTTAGTCCATAAGAATGTCCTCAAATAAGAACAAGTTGTTTGGCTTATATAGTTCATTTGGTGGCTGATAGTTTATTGATCTGAAGGGTTTTCAAGGCTTTTCTTGTAGTATACCAGAGCTACCTGTTTCAACAACCTGATAGTGTAGCTAGTTTTGGACTCCCATGACTTTTTCTGTAAATAACTTCTTACTATTCATTCCTATTTTACTGTATTTCATTACTATTGCTTGGAGCACATCACCAAATGGGAAACACAAACACACCACCCACATGCACTGCTACACCTGTCACCACCTCTCTTGAGCACCAATTAAATCACGGGAAAGGAGGCTGAGCTACTGTGGTGAATAAATACGCCTGCTCGCAAGAAAATCGCATCAGCGTGACAGAGGAGGCTGGCGTTAAGAGGATAGCGTCTTTAATTAGCTGCAGAATGATTTGCCAAAAGGATTTGGAATCCACCCTCATTCTCTCACTGTTTCTTACTGTGGTAGCTGGCACAGAAAGCACCTGTCCAGGTAAGTCCAATGCCTTAAGATCTAGTGCAACATCTTTTCACAAAAACAGAGACTTCTACTTTTGCCATTCTTATCCTGTATACTATGCACTTTAAGTACAATACCATTTCTGAAATACATTTCAGAACTCATTTTTAATCACATCGAGTGTCTCAAATTTAATAATTATGAGAGCTAACGACTGATCGGTGTTCTGAAAAGGAAAGGACAGAACTTTTCATTCAACATTTTGAAAGCTCCCAATGATTTCATTTGCTTTTGCTTCTGTTAATTTTGGAAAATAAATATTTTGAAAAGTTTCGGTACTTCATAGCTCACTGAAGATCTTTGTCTCTATAAAAAGTTGCAATTTTCTGCCTGTTGTGTTCTATATTGTGTTCATAACATCTATGAATGCCTAGATTTTCATTTGACACTATAACTACCAATTGTAGCAAAAGGGAAAAGTATTCTAAAATTTAAAGCTAAAAACTTGTATGGATCCTGTGAGAATGGGAATTACCTTGTGGAGAACTCTAGTGAAACACTGGCATAACATCTTCACCATGTTTCCCTGTGCTCACACCTTGGGAATTGTTGCACTGCAAACATTTGAAACATAAGAATTAACACACACACAGGATGTAACAAATAAGAGCTGAAAAAAGAAAAAAGCAACTTTTGTCACATTTGTTTAAACTTAACAAAGTTTAAACCCACAATCTGACCAAAAAAGAAATGCTGACGTTGATTCAGCATCTGGTTACTGTAATGAAGTATAAAACTCTTGTTTTCTGTGTGGTCAGTATGTTTTAGACAGCCTTATAGAAACAGAAACATATGCCTCACAATTTATTAGAAGCTCTTTTTTCGAGAATGACTGACTTTACTACAATATTTAGATTGCTGTAAAAGATTCTTCAATGATTTTTAAAGTCCGCAGCACAAAAACGTCATCGTTAGTTTTCTTCAGCAGTGTGAACAGGGATTTTATTCCACACCTTAAACTACCTCCTTTGGTCCTCTTGCCCAATGTTCAAGAAGGCAGATTTGAGCTCTTCTGTGTTACAGAGGTGAAGGTTGTTGGCCTGAATGACAAGGACAGACTGACCATCCTTCAGGGCTGCCCAGGACACCCAGGGATACCAGGTGCTCCTGGAGCTCCAGGCATGAAGGGAGAACAAGGCCTGCCAGGCCCTCAAGGTACTGTAATTCCCAGCTGTTCTGACTTCTCCCCAGAAGGCATGCAATGAATTGAGTTTGTTCTCTCCCATATAACTAAATGTAAGAACTGTCTGTAACTTCAACTTTTTTCTTTAGTGTTTATTACCATCTGTGACAAAGGTGGGTGGGCTTATTACTTGCTCATGATTAAAGTAAATTAGGTGCCTCCATTTATCTTAAGATCAGCTATTGCATTCAGACATTGAAGACAATTTTTGATCTTGTAAAGGTTAAAGGGTAGGGGGTCTGGCATATCATTGATGCAATATTGGTTATCCAATTAAGTCATTTTTAGAGTTGGAATTGAAGTTCAACAGTTATTATGTCCAAACCCCATCCATTCACCCACTAAAACAGTTGTAATGACTCTCCTCATTCTAGATTTTTAAAAATAGAAGTCTTCCTTTCAGCTGTATTTCAACTTTACAGGTATGAAAGGAGAACCAGGAGCATATGGCAAACTGGGTCCAGATGGAGCCAAAGGTAAATATCAGGAAATGCGATTTTAATGCTGAGGTAGGGAGCCAGAAACAATCAAAATTTTTAAAGCCATTAAAACAGAAAGGGGGTGTGTGACAGGACTTGTGAGGAATCTCAGCAGTAGTAGCTTCTTTTAAACAGATTATGCAGATCATACTCCTGTTTATGTTAAACTTTTAAAATGAAATTAATGGATGTACTGTATATACTTGTAGTGCAATTAATCTTATCCCGCTTCTTTGAAAATATGAGCAGACAGCATCAGTTTATCAGTTTATGATGCAACACATGATGTTGTTAAAGGTTTCAAAATGTAGAATTTTAATGGCAAATAATTTAAATATTTTAATTATATATATTATTTTGTAAGACCTAATACTTCTGAAACCTGATCTAGCAATTTCCTTTAAACTGTGCATCCCAGCATATATCCCATCACTGGCTTTTCTCAGTGATCAGATGGGTATTTTCACACATGGCCCAATGTACAGATGTGTCCTACTGTATAACCAAGACTGAGCAAAGTCTTTAATATACTCTTGTCAGTGTATAGTATGTATATTATCAGCGGCAATATTTTAGGTTATCAAGTCATCCTTACCAGTACTAGAGCTGCTAGATCAAATAAAGAACAAAACAGCAATACAATCATAGTCAAGACACTGTACCAGTACAGTTACATTGAACCAACTTGCTTATTCTTTGGTTTGAAAGAGAGGGAGAGGTAGTACTTTTTTTTGGGATCGGATGGTGAGGAGATGGTGTTCATTTTGACTTCGTAGTCTCGAGTGTGTCATGCACCTTTCATCTTCCAGCTGTTGTTAGAAACTAATTCAATTACAACTTTTTCTTACATCAGAAAAACCAAGTATTAGTTTCTCATTCAGCTGGATCAGTCCCAGGAAATTGGAAAAATGCATTGCACATACTGTAGCAAAAGAAAACTTAAAATCACATTCTGCCTCAAAGTATCCCAAGGAGAGAGGAGTTATACAGCCTTGTTTTCCAGGGTTTTTGCTCAATGTCTAAATGTCCCAATGGCTTGATTAAATAAGCCAATCGCTGGTTTAGTCAGTAACTGCTTGGAGAGGAGAACACCAGAAGACGGTAGACCAGAGAACAATGGTAGTATTAATAAATCTTCTCTTACTGCACACAATTTATAGATTTGTCATTTGTTCTTTCAGGACAGAAAGGAGAACCAGGGGATTTAAGTTACACAGGTACAATGACGATCTTTTACAGACATCTGTTTCTTTTCTAAAAAAGAAAGATGTTAGTGTTTGCTGGTGTGATTCATTGGTGTGGTCTTTTAAACACAGAGACATTGTAATGGCACAAGGAGTATGGAATTATTCCAATAAATCCTGAGAGATAAGAATGATAGCTCTGGAAAAGCTTAAAGAAACTGTGCACAAAGCAACATGCTGAATGGGGAAAAGGGGAGTGAAGTTTAGTGAAGTGTCATAAAATGAGATTTTGACAAATAAGGTGCAGTGGAAAAATTCAGATAATTTTTTTACCAGTTAGAAGAGGAATTTAAAACACAAACCCAACAAGATAAAAACACTAAGAGCCTTCTTAGTGTGTGTGCTAATGTATCACGTCCATAAAAACATTAGCCATGAAATTAAAATACATATTTTGGCTGTAGTGTATATTATGGTATCTACAGTACCAAACAGTAGTAGTTTGCAGCGAGTGACTGTAAACTAAGTATTACAAAAATATTGTGGATGTATTTGTTTTTAAAACTCCAACTAGAACTTCCATAAAATATTAATATACTTATTCATGTATTATTATATACACATACTGATAAAGATATAATTTCTGCTAATTCTGTAGCAAGCTATTTAAAGTATTTGTGTCCTGAATGATGAAAGT